GTGTGTGTGTGTGTGTGTGTGTGTGTGTGTGTGTGTGTGTGTGTGGTTATGCCACCACATGTACATGGAGGTCAGAGGACGGCCTGTAGAGTTTGCTTCTCATTCTTCCTTGTGGGTCCCGGAGATCAAACTGAGGTCCTCTCAGGCTTGGAGGCCAGTGCTGTGTTAACCCCTGAACCATCTCACCTTGTCCTTGTTTTGGGGTTTGAGATGGCGTCCCATGTAGCTAGGCTGACCTCAAGTTCACTGTACTGCTGAGAATGACCTTGAGTTTCTATTCCTCCTGGCGCCCATGTTGGCATCACAAATGCACCCCGCCACCCATTTTTATGAGGTGCTGGGATCAATCCCAGGGCTTCATGCATGTTAGGCAAGCACTCTGCCAGGCTCTGCCATATCCCTAGACCCCGTTTCAGATGGGTTGAGAAGTAGTCTCAAAATGCCCAGCTTGCAGCCACGTTGTTCAAAAACTCCCTGGTAGACAGAAGAAGTAAAGAGATAGTAGCTGCGTCTTGTCTGTTTTCGTGGCCCTCAGCGCTAGGAATCCTACTTCATTCCAGAAAGTTCCTCAAAACCCCAAGGCACGCTGGAGGTGGAGTGGGAGGGGAGTGTGTGGCAGTCACTGCAGCTGACCTCTCTGTCCTTCTTCCGTCTTCCTTTGCCCACAGAGCGTGCAGCATGAGAACACATACCGTGACCCCGTAGCCAAGTACTGCTACGGAGAGAGCCCACCGGTACTCTTCCCCGCGTGAGGCCCGATGGAGAGACACACACAGAACCGGTCTGGTCCACGTGAGACAATGAAGGAGAAAGCCACGCGAGGACCCTTGGCTTTGAGCATGTCCTGTGGCACCCAGTGTCTCTGACTCCCTCACCGCCAGCTAGAGCAGACAGAGCTGTTCTATAGAGCAGGCCGGATGAGGCCCCGGCACCTTGCCCGGCCGTGGGACGGCTGCGGGGCCACGTGCTTGATCCCCTGTTGTAGTTACTTAATGACCTCAGAGTGCTGGAAGACGCACTGTTTTGTGCAGGACACCCTTGCCGGTGCAGTTGGACACACTCAAGGAGGTGACTGCTGTACTTGGTTCCTTACCGTCACAAGTGACGTCGTTGCTGCACCAGACCCAAGTGTGTCTCCAGGAGTGTGGGTGTACGGAAACACCTGACCAGCAGGCCTTGTATTTATATCCCAACATCTAGGGGTGTGTAGAGCCTCAGAGAGGTGCTGGTACCCACTGATTCTGTGTAGAGCTGCCCTGGTGTGCTCATATCCCTGAAATGGTCGGAGGCCTGAATCCCCCATGACTCTCCCGGTGGAATTTGCTGCCACTGTGCCCCTGTGGAAACCCCTCAGCCTTGGGGCAGGGGAGCCTTTCCCTTGTCTGTCATAGAAGCCGGTGGGGACCTGGTGAATGCGGTTTGTGGCACTCTTTCATTCTTACCGCTCACCGCTCCTGGCTGTGTGCCAAAGGAGAGCTTGTTAAGCTCCTACTGCAGCCAAAAGTTTAACATCCGCTCTCAGTGGGAGATGTATGTGGTGGCCACGCCAGAGAGCATTCCAAAGGCAGGCCGGTGTCCAGTGCTTGCAGGGGTGGGCAGTTGTCACCGGTAACGGAAACTTGGGTTTCAAGCACCAGGGCAAGACTCCTCCTTCTCAACTCTCCTGTCTTTTTCTCCAGTCTCCTATAACACACACGGCTCTCGGAGACCGTTCACTGACCCTTACAGAGGCCATGGCATTTGTGGTTTGGGTTCAGGTTGCCCTGGTGTCAGGCATGAGTCTCCAGATTTTCTCCCAGCAGCTTCATAAAGCCGTGTCTCCCAACTGTGTTTGCCTTCTGCATGGAATTTCCTTCAGCTGCCTCCTGCTTCCTCTTCCTGCTCACCTGTGTGGAAGGAAGGACAGGCTGATGGGCATTGTTCTCGCTTGGTGTCGCCATGCTGGGATCAGATCCAGGACTTTGTGTGTGACTGGCAAACTTTCTGCTTACTGAGCCCTGGTCCTGGCCAGGGAATCGATTTTTAGTGTTAGATCCCAGTGATTCTGTTCCGTTTGCTCTGGACTTCTTAGTGTGTGGATTCAAAGTTCATGAAAGAACTGGGTGCACCTGCACATTCTGGTGCTTTCTGGAATGTTCTGGCATGTTCTGACGTGTTCTGGCTTGCTTGCTCATTCTTTCTGATAACTGGGAGATATATAATTTATTTTTAAGACAGGGTCTCTCGTAGCCCAGGCTGGTATCCAACTCCATGCTTGACACCAGCCATAAACTCCTGATTGCCCTCTGTACCTGCCAACTGCTGGGGTTATAGGTGCCTGCCAGCTGCCTGGCTCATCAGGCTTGTAATGCCAGTCTACCCTTGGTCAGCGTTGAAGTTGGTCAGTCTCTCCCTTGGAAGAGTGCCGACACGGGTATAATGTAAACATCATGCCCGTTGCCAGTTCTCTCTGACCTGTACAGTCCTCGAGTTTATAGTCCCTGAACAGTTGAGATCAAGAATCCAGTTGGCTTGTGTTTCACTCGGGAGATGAGGAAGTAGCTTCCCCTCCCAAATCCCTGCCAAGACAGAATAATCAAAACCCACAGAAGAACTTCACCTCGAATCCCGCCCACATATCCTGCGGTGTACCTCCGCATCATCTCCCCTGAGAACGGACGGCTTCAGTTATCCCAGACAGGAGAAAGCGGCATTTGCATCCACGCCAAGTAGTAATGCAGAGGTCACTTCTGATTGACTGTGGAATGTGGATTTTGTGTTTTAATCACGCTGGAAAACACACACACACACGACTGGGGAAGTCTGGGGAGGGGGCAGGGTGAGAAGAGCCGCAGGTAGGAGTGGTATAGAGGAAGCCCGGAGGCCAGTGTTCATGTCGGTATGCTAATAGGCACCAGAGTTAGGTATTTGTCCTCAGTTTTTTTTTTTTTTTGGACCTGATACTAATGATAAAATAATTACCTAAAAATCACACAGCCTAGAGATAACCACCAGCTATTTTCGACTTCTCTGTGACTTTCCAGGCAGAACAAACAAAAATCCCAGGGCATTCTTCACCCGTGGAAACACTGCCTGTGAGTCTGTTGTCTGCAGGCCCGTGTGATACCCATGGAGGACATCTGGTGCCTTCCATGGGGGTGGCCTGCTCTTACTGAGCACCATTGTTAATTCAGCTCCTGCGGCCACTTCTCCACAGGGGTTGGAGGTGTCTGTCTGTCCATCCCTCAGTCCGTTTCATGAGCTGTTTTCAGTGTTCCAATTTGTATCTATTATTATTATTATTATTATTTTTAAGATCATGAGCCTATGTGTACCAGCTCATACTAAATAATGAGTTCTGGTTTGCAAAGAGGATATTTTTTTTTTTAAACTTAAGATGTTTACGGGGCAGGTGAATTAGCCCAGTGGTTGAGCACTGGCTGCTCTTCTCATGGACCTGGGTTCAGTTCCCAGCGCCCACACAGGGGACTCACAGCTGATGGGATGGGATGACCTCTTCTGACTGTCACAGGTATCCTAATGTGTGGCATACATTCACACAGACACTACAGACACACAAAAGTAATGTAATAAAGATAAAATCTGTAAAAAGCTAAATCACATTTAATTATTGGGGGTACACACGTGCCGTGGTTTAGGTCGGAGGAAAAGTGTTGCAAGTTGGTACGTTTTTCCACCATGTGGGTTCGGGCATGGAGCTCATGGTGTCGGTCTTGGTGGCCATGCCTTGGCCCACGGAGCCGTCTTGCTGGTCCTGCCTGAGTCTGTGTCCGTAAGTTAAATGATAAAATACACAAGTGCTATTGATTGTGTTTATTAAGTCGCAGTGAGCGGAGCCCCACATGGTTTGATTGACCATTTATTTTGTCTTTCTTCCCATTGGTTACTACAGAACATTTTGAAATGAACTGAAACCCTAAGTAATTCTCCCTCTCCCCATCGTCTTCTTTTCCTCCTTTCCCCTCTCTTTTTCCTTTGAGACCTGGTACCTCTGTCCCATGCTAGCCTCACACTCTCCATCCTCCACCCTTAGCCCCTGGTATTTAAACCTCAGCTGAGCTTCTCGTTTAACTTGCCCTTCGGCGACACTTTCAAGCAATTAGCTCACGTTCACAAACCCATCTTTCTAATAGATCTCGGGCCGTGGGTTTGTAACAGGGGGGCAGCCCTTCCCCCACTCCTGACCCTCGGGAGACATTTGACGAAAGTGTCTAGTCTCCTTATAGCTGGAATGGGGACGGTACCACTTGTCCCTAGTGTGTGTGTGTGTGGGGGGGGCTCAGTGATGCTACTCCCTGGCCCACAGCGCCTCAGACGGTCACACACACCATGTAGGCTGGCAGTGCTGAGCTAACTGAGCCCAGCTCTGGGTCACAGCTGCACCCAAGGCACTTCCCTACCCTGGAGTTCTACCGTGCTGAGTGCTGATTAAATTACCTGTGTTCCCCACAGGACATGCTCACGTGACATTGCATTCCTGCCTGGAGGCACAGTGTGGTTACCCTGCACTGTGTCCTTAGCGAGCTCACTCTCCACACTTGTCTGCAGAATGAACTGAAGGTTTGTGACCTGTTGGTAGAATGGGGCAGGGGGTAGGACTGGGACTGTCCCTGCAGCTCTGGCTGCCAGCATCACTGGTTTCTCTCAGTCTGCAGATCCCTCATTCAGATGTGAAGGTGGTTTGGTCTGCCACTGCTGTGAGCAGGGTGGTTAGAGCTGTGCCACCAACTCTGGACTCTCAGCTGAGCCTCAGCAGCCCTCCAAAGAGGTCCAACCTAGGGTTGTTCCCATTGAGAGTCCAGAACTAAGAAACAAAGACACAGCCTTAAATACTGCAAAGAAACAGATCCAGCAGGCTGTGGTGATAGCATTGGGGCCGTAATCCCAACACTGGGGAGGCTGAGGCAGGAGGATTATTCCTTAGAGCTCAGCCTGGGCTTTACAAGATGAGACCCTGACACCAAGTATATAATCAACCACAGAATTGAGCTGCCAGTGAAAATGCTGCCAGGACAAGCAGTGTCCAGATGTCTCCATGTGCCTGTCAGCTGTATTTCTCAGGACCCTGCATCCCGTGGGGGCGAGGGGGATCAAACAGCAGCACTAGAACTCGGTGGTTTTGTGTGGTGTGGAATGTAAGCCTAGAGTCAGAAAACACTCAGATAACCTGCAGGCAGGCACGTGTGGTGTGGGCTAACTGGGAAAGAAATCCATGTCACGGACAATGAGTTCTAGACCACTGACCATGCCTGTTCCAAGATGTGTGTGTGTCTGTGTGTGCGTGTGCATGCGCGTACATGAGCATCACACGAATGTGTTTGTCCTGTCCTGTGTGGACAGATCTATTGAGTTGTAGGTGTTGAGCCAGGTATGGTGGCACATGGTTTAATTGCCGGTACTCAGGAGGCTGGGGAAGGAGAAATCCAAGTTCAAGGATAACCTGAGCTTCATAGTGATGCTTGTCTGAAACACACACAAAATTGTTTTTAAAGTTTAATAAAATACTTCCTTAATCAGATGTTGGCAATTGGGGTAAATGTCATGATCTATGTGTTGCTCTAGGCATTCCCATGTATTGGCCATGTCTGTGTGTGTGTGTGTGTGTGTGTGTGTGTGTGTGTGTGCGCGCGCGCTCGCGCATGTGTTTGTGCATGCTGTGTGAGCAGAAGTGGCCTGAAGTCTGAACAGCATCCTGACCCACCTCACAGGATCCCAGGCATCTGTGAACTTGGGTAAACTTCTCATTGTCATTGTCTGCTGGAGTGATTGCCAACACATACACTGATCCTAGATCCTGACTCTGACCACCCAGAAACCAAACATGGCCAGAGCCGTGTCTCTTCATTGCCCTCTGTGGACTGCGATTCCCACAGGGTAGGTGGACACCAGCTATCCGGACCCCAGTGGTCCTCAAAACAGTCCCTCTTCAAGGCATCCTGAAGACAGATCAAACCTGGCCAAACATTTTCTCCATCGTCCTTCTCTGGTTTCCCTGGGCACCATCTGCTTGTCACCTGTGCTGTCCATGCTTCTGTGGAGACAGCTGCCGGCCAGGATGCCCAGGGCTATGTACGTGCAGATTCCCTTCGTGCAGCCCAGAGATACTCAGAGGCCTTGAGATGACCAGAGCATGTCATGTTTCCTGAGCAGTGACTTCACTGGGCATCTCTCAGCACAAGGCTGTCTCTTACAAGGTAGAAACAAGCTTTCAAAATTACACTGAGCCAGAGTAGGTTCCTGGTTCCCAAAGGCTAGCCACAGCTGCAGTGGCTACAGTGCCGCACCGTGTGTCTAAATGTATGTTTTATATTTGCGCATAGATGGGAATGGACTCCCACTACCTGCTATTTTACAATGCTGTGTTCTGGCAGGTTGACTTTATCCAGTTAGTCAACTCCTCCCACGCAGAAGGTCCAACCTGGAGGAGTGAAACCTTGAGAGGCTATAGCCCTTTATAATGGCCTCCTGTGTCGGCTGCGTTCTTCCACCCTTTCTCCTTGTCTGAGTTTACCCAATAGGGAGAGAAGCCTTTGTTTTTCACAGACAGATTCCAGGCATTTCCCAAAGCCAGAGCTGAGCTTCATCCAGCATTTCGGGGACCGGCTGCATTGTCCTGGGAGGGCTGGGTAAGAAGTCAAGAACACACCAGATCGCTTGAGCGTGTTGTTGTTCTGGAAAAATCACTAAAAGCAGGCATCAAAAACAAAAAGTGGAATCTGGGCATTGGTGTCGCACACCTTTAATCCCAGCACCCGGGAGGCAGAGGCAGGCAGATCTTTGTGAGTTCGAGGCCAGCCTGGTCTACAGAGCTAGTTCCAGGGTAGGCTCCAAAGCTAGAGAAACCCTATCTCGAAAAACTAAATAATAATAATAAATAAAATAAAAAGTGGAGCTAGTGAGATAGCTAAGCATTAAAAGGACTTGTTGCTCCTCCAGAGGACACTGGTTGCTCCCTATCTGTAACTCCGCTGGGATCCAGCTCCCTCTTCTGGCCTGTTGTGCACCTTGTATGGTTGTGATACATCTACATACATGTAGGCAAAACATCATACAAATAAAAGTAATTCTTTAAAAAAATTAAAAATAAGATTTTCAAAAGGCCCAGGGAAGGCTCTGTGGACCATCATCTTCCTGAAAAGGCCGATCCATGTTCGGGACAGCCCGTACCCTACCCCCAGCGGCAAGAGCTCATCCACAGGGTAATTTTTTTTAAAGAGTCAAGGCCTTCAGTATGTTCCTTAGGATGCTTAGAGATGTTCTGTCTCCCCTCCCACACGCTAAACACAAATTTTCCGCTGGGTGTGGATCTGGACAGCTCTCCAGGTTCCTTGGGCTCTGTCCATGACATCCAAATCTGCCTGTGCTTTTGCCTGTCGACTGTGCTTAGCACTGACCCAAGACAAATAGTCTCGAGGCGGCTCACCACTTGGCTCTGCTGATTTATCTGACGTAAATAAGCTCGCTGACCTGATTTAGCATCGTGGGGGACCACAGAGTGAATCGCAGCCAGCGCAGCTCAGTTCTGGTAGCAAGCATGCTGGCAGTTGCTGACTGCGCCACTTGGGGGCGCCAGCTGCATGGGTTTTCCATCCCCAGTGTGAACCCGTTGTTGACTCAGGCTCAGGCTTGCCCGAGATCCCCTCAAAACAATGACTGTGGGCAGAGAGCCAGCTGAGGGGGCTGCAGATCAGGACTCCTTCTTGGGCCTGGCATTTTGGGGACCAGGAACCTCAGGGAGGCGAAGACAGATCTGCAGCTGGCACTGTGCTACGGTGCCTTGCCACCCGCTTCTCAGCCTCTGCCCGACCCCCGGGACAAAATGTAGGTGAATCTTCTTAGCCGTGCTTGGGTGGCAACGAACAGGAATGCTAGGGGACCATTCACACCACCCCTCCTTTGCGTCCACAGAGAATTCCTGTGCTCTGGTTCTTCTTGGCTCAAGGTCATGCACACCATCTGCCTTATGGAAATTCCAGACCAGGTGTCTCTGGGGGGCACACCGTGAGCATTCCCCTGTGACATAGTGCTCAAAAGGCTGCTTATGCGCTGACCTCACAGCCACCCTCCTGAGCCAGGCAGGCCTTCTCTTCTCTGTTTTATGGTCACAAATGCAGATGGGTTTAGAGCTGCTTCCTGGCATCAGCCAAGACGATACCCTCTGCTGTGAAGAGAACTTCCTGTCCTTGCTGCAGGGGCAGTAGGGGTCCTCCGTGGAGCCCAGGAGGGTAGCAGGTTAAGTATCTGCCCTGAAATTTGTTCTTTGGCCCTGGGGTCAAATCTATTATTTAAGCAAAAGTTTCCATCTTAAAAAAAAAAAAAAGACTTGTTTATATTATTTTTAATGTTGTGTATGTGGGGCATGGTATTCATGAGTGCAGGTACCCACGGAGGCTGCAGGCGTTGGAGCCCCTGGAGCTGAAGTTCCAGGCAGGTGCAAACCACCTGAAGTAGTGCTAGAAATCAATCTTGGGTCCTCGAAAGAGCAGCACAGGCTCTTAACCGCTGACCCATCTCTCCAGGCTCCTCCTTTATCTTCTGTCCGCTGGTCGCTGCCAGGAAGGAACTTGGGAGAATGTACTAGAATGGTAACTTAGCATTTTAGGGTAGCTCCGACAAGTGTCCTATGGGTCTCACCAAGTGCTGAGTTGTGACTCCCTAAAGCCATAGGTTGCAGCCTTACTCCGGTCCTGCAGAATGTGGTCATTTGGAGGGCGGACCTTTAAAGACATGATTGATGGGCCAGTGAGATGGCTCGGTAAGTAAAGACACTTTCTGTCAAGGCTGAGAGCCTGGTTTTGATCCCTGGGACCCGCATGGTGGAAGGAGAGAAGCCACTCCCGTAAACTGTCTTCATGCATACACCGCATGCTATGTAAAAAATTGGCATGTTTACAGGGGTGCACACATACATACATGGCATGCTATGTAAAGTACTGGCATGCTTGCAGGGGCACACACATACATACACCACATGCTATGTAAAGAACTGGGAATTTCAAAGTTTTTCAATAATGGAAGCAACTGAGTTGAAAGGAAGCATCGTGATAAACCCCAACCCAGTGTGACTGGTCCTTATAGGAAGAACAAGAAACACATAAGCTACCACATGCAGAGGGACAACTGCTAGTCATGGAGACAGACCTCAGGAGAAACCAGCCTCCCACCGCCTCCATCCAAGAGCTCCAGAAAAATGACTCTGCTGTTTGAACGACCCAGCCTATGGCCGTTCTGTTGTGGCTAACCAATGCTCAGTCTTCGGAGGTGCTGACTTCTGGCTGATCTCCAAATTCAGAGGAATGCTGCCTCCTTACCGTCCGAGGCCCTGCTGGGTATCTCCATGTCTTGGCCTGTATGTCTTTCTGTGATGGGTGAAACAGAGTGACATCCAGGGTCCTTCCAGTCTGATATTCTAGGATCGCAGGTGGCTCCCAGGACCTGGAGAAGATCGAGCTAAGCTGTAGAACTAGAGGGAGACTTTGACTTCAAGCGCAGCGTCCAGTAATGTCTGAAGACCTTTTCTTATTTAGGTCTTTGTGTGTATAAGTATGTATGTGGATGTGTGTGTGGCATGGAGTTATTGTGGAGGCCGGAAGACAACTTGAAGTAACCTGTGCTCTCCTTCTGCTGTGTGGGTCCCAGGGATTGAACCCAGGTCCTCAGACTTGGCAGCAAGTGCCTTTACCTGCCAAGACGTCTTACCAGCCCTGAAAATGTTTTTTTTTGTTTGTTTGTTTGGCAAGGAATATGCTTCCTGGTATATGATGGAGGAGACCACACCACTGCCCAGCATCTCCCAGTGATCAGATCAGCAACCCCCTCCCCCGAAGAACTTGGGTCCAAGGTGCTGACAGTGCCCCAGGAAATGCTCTGGGACCCCATGGCAGTGGGCACTGCAGGGTACCCTCACGACTTGTTCAGTAGTTGCTCTATAGACAAACATTTGGATCTCTCTTGCCTTTTGGCTTCTTTGAATCACATTGCTTTGAAATTTGTGTGTGGTTTTATATGGGGATCCTTAGCAGTGGGATTGCTGGGTCCAATTTAGTCACCCCTTGTTTCTCTTTTGGGGGAACCTGCCAGAATCTCAAAGTCATTCTACTCCATGGCACCCTATAGCTCAGGCTGGCCTCAAAATTGCTATGTAGTCGAGGCTGGATTTGAACTCCAGATCCTCTTGTCTCCAGTTCCCAAATGCTGGGGTTACAGGCATATACCTCTCTACTAGTTACTTTTCTACCGCTGTGATAAAAACCACTGTAATAACATGCACTTGCAGAAAAAGGAGTTCAGTTTGCCTCTTGGTTCCGGTGGGCTAAGAGCCCATCTTGGCAAGGAGGCATGGCAGGCATGGTAGCAGAACAGGAAGCTGAGAGCTCACGTCTTCACAGAGCAGAGAGGGCAAACTGGAAGGGATGAGAGGCTTTTAATCCCAAAGCCCGCCCCCAGTGATGTACTTCCTCCAGCATGTCTACCCCATCAAGCCCCCCCACCCCCCGCCACCACCAACTGGGGATCCGG